TCCAGCCGCGGGGAGGGAGGGAGGGTGCCGCTGCCGCGCGCGCCGCTGGGGGCGGGGGCGAGGAAGCGCCTTCTGGGCTCCGCGGAGGCCGGCCGGCCGGCTGGCTGGCTGGCTGCTTCTTGCGCCCTTCGCGCAGCCTGGGCGGGTGGGAGCAGGACAAAGCCGCCCCCGGACAGCCCGGCGTCTGGGGACCCGGCGCGCCCCCTGGCGGCAGAGCGGAGCCAGGCCGAGGGGCGGGGCGGCTTCACCCGGAGCAGGGGACCCGCTGGGCGGGAGGAGGAGGAGGAGGAGGCCACGCCCCGATCCCCATCCCCGGGCGGCGGCTCGCTAGGCTGGGCGGGAGCGGTCCTCTCCTTCCTTCCTCTTTCGCCCCGCGCTGGGGCCGCCAGGAACTGCTCCGCCGCGGAACAGGAGGCCCGAACGCTAGAGGATTCCCTGCCACGACCTAGGTTTCGTTTAGCAGATGCTCACGCAGCCTTTCCGCCCAAGGTGAACAGCCACACAAAAATGGGAACACCGCCAAGACAGTGGTGCAAACAAACAACCGCAATCATCTGTCGCCCTGTAGAAATCACCCTGGAGACTCCTGCCCTCTGACGCAGTTCTACAGACAACCATAAATGATACACAACACATAGCAAATGGTTTTGCCACCAGGCATAAATGACATCTGCACCAGTTGAATAGGGACCGAATTGTCCTTAAAAACAGGCCCGGGGTGGGTCTCTTTTTTAGCTTTTAGTCTCTTATTTCTGGGTTAGTCTCTTAAAGTCTCTTTATTTTCAGAATAAGTCTCTTTTCTCTCGTTTTTCGTGCCTTCGTGCTCAAGGAATTAAAACTGTGGAACAGGATTGTGGGATGTGCTATTCTTCAAATGCAATAAAGGTATGTGATTTGTCTTATTAAATGTACGATCAATATTTTTAATGAGTTTTTAATGATAACTTGCTCATAATGCACACAATTTTTTTTCTATGGGTGTGTCAGACAGCGCAGTTTAAATTGCTCCGGCCCTGATGCGGTTTTTTTTAACCTGGAGAATCGAGATCACACTCACCTCCTTGTTCCGGATTGCTGCGCAGCCACATCGCTCCCCGCCAGCCATCCACACCAGCCAACCACACACATCGGTGTTGTTTTTCCCCCTCTTTCAGTTTGGGCATGCGCACAGGCAGCCATCTGTAGAACTAAAATTTTCGTGCGTGCGCAGAACGACGTTTTTTTCTTCAACCTGACTGCTGTAACACTTCCCTTTAAACTTTAAAGGAACACTTCCCTTTAAAGGTTTACCCTGCAAGTGGCCTCCGTGAGATCCCGAACTCGTCTAAACACTAAAACTAGGCACCCTTTAAACATTGTTTTTAATAACACAGTGGTGCACACCGACAACGCTTTTTTAAAAAATGGCGGGCAAAAAGCGGAAACCTCGGGCAGCTTTCGAGCAGGGAGGGAGCTTAAACCGGAAATGGCTTGACACCGGTGGAACGATCAGACGTCAGAAAAGTGCAGCTGGAACCGGAGAATCAGGAAAACACCACTTGGGGACCTGGTATCAAAATACTCCGGGTTAAAGCGGTTTTGAGCCGGAAAGCGACAACTGGGGACAGGAGGCAGATGTTGACTGTGTGATCACACAGATAAAATCTAAAATCCGTTTCTGAACTGGCACGACACCAGATCAAATGGCGCGTCTGACCGCACCCTCTGTGTGAGTCATGATGCTCTGAAGAAGCTAACTTGTATCATTTTCCTGCATAGCCCTTTTTCAACCCCACCCCTTGAAAATGTTACATTTCATTAGTATTAGGCATGTTTCATTTTATTACATTATGTTTTATTCTATGAGTATCTTATTTTGCTTAGTTTTTTTTAGTATGTGTGCATGTTTTACTTTAATGCTTTACTTTTTTCATTTTCTAATTCTTTTTTCCTTCTTTCAGGATTCATGTTGAAATGGTTGGCTGCTGATCTGTGACCTGAAGTGTTAATGATGGGAAAGTGCAAATTTAGAGCTGATTGGCTTCTTTAAAAAGACCAAAATGGACATTTGATGTCAGCATGGGCATCAAGACACAGTGAAACTGAAGTATTTTGCAAACTTTGTGTGTGTACAGTAGATTTTCAGAACAAGGATCTTCATGCTCTTCTTCAACACTTGGACTATGCCAAACATAAAAAAATTAGCCTCTGATGTTCTAGGGGCTAAATAGATGGTTTTAGTTGCAGCTAATCCTGGTGATTCTTCTGAAACAATCCAGAGTGAATGTCCCGGAACAAGCCATAGTTCTTCAGCTCCTCTTATTAAACTCTATAGTTTGAAGAATGCGGCAACAGTATCAGAACTCATTTGGGTTATGAAGTTGGTGTGTTGCAACTTTTTGGCATCTTCTTGCAGTGGCATAAAGGAAACATTTGGTGCAATGTTTCCAAGGGGTGTTCCAACTGATTTTTCTTTAAGCCCTAAAAAGATGCGATATTTAATAACTGATGCAGTGGGACCATATTTTCAACGGATTATCTCAGATGATGTGGGAAACTCCTTTTATTCAGTCTGTTTTGATGAAATAACCAATGTTGAAGACAAAAAAGGAGCTCCAGATATTGGTGAGATATTGATCAGAAGATAGAGGTGAAGTACTTTCAAGGCATTTGCAGACATTCTTCATCAGAAAAGCTGATGCACAAACTCTTCATGAAAAAATTCACACTACCATCAGTAGGGCAAACCTGCCCATTCACAAGCTGCTGATGATTGGTTCAGATGGACCTAATGTGAATAAGAAAGTTCATAGACTTTTCAATGAAAATTTGATTGAAATGAGGTCATGTGGATTAGTTGATATCGGGACCTGCCCCCTTCACATTGTTCACAACCCATATCTGAAACCCTTGCAGACTTTTGGTGAAGATGCATCTGAATTAGCTATTGCTGTTTACCACTACTTTAAGGGGTGGCCAGTGAGGATAGAGAAATATGAAAAGATACAAGAAGATCTCAAATTATCTCAAAAGAAAATCCTCAAACATTCTCCTTCTAGGTGGCTTACATTTTGCTCTGCTGCTGAGAGACTGCTCAAACAGTGGGAAGGAGTAAATCATTACTTTCTTAAATTCATTCCATCAACAAAGAATCCAGCTGTGTTACAATCTAGTTCATACAGAAAAATCGCCAACCTTTTACATTGCTCAACTATCAGAGCAGAATTGTATGTCACTATATCTTCTGCAGAACCTTTCACTAACTTCACCGAAAGATTCCAATGAGATGAACCTTTAATTCATATCCTGTACCCTCAGCTGCAAGAATTGTTAGGGAAACTGGCTAGATGTGCTTTCAAGTCTGTTTCTGAAGATAACTATGATGCAAATTAGTTATTTGATTTGAAAAACATATTACCCATGAGATATGGTGTTGTTTCATGGGAAGTTAAAAATGAACTTTCACATCTTCCAGAAAAAGATTTCTTGGTGTTTATGAAAAAATTATTTATTTATTTATTCATTCATTCAAATTTATACCCTGCCATCCCAGCGAAGGCCGGCTCGGGGCGGCTTACATAAAATCAACAGAAACATTTAAATAGTATAATAAAACATTTAAAACAGTATTTAAAAGATTACAATTCCATGATAAGTGCTAGTTTTGCTGTTATAAACTTCGTGATGGCTACCATCGGCTCAAAAACATAACAGAAGCTGGATGCAAATACTTGATTGCTGGATGCAAACACTTGATTGAAAAGGCAATGAAAGGATGTGGTTTGCTGAAAGCTCTGAGATGTTTAAACCCTTCTCTTGTGAAAACTCCAAAATGTTTTCAAGATGTAGTTTCAGTTGCCAGAGAACTCCCTATCGATACAAAAGATGTTCTCATTGAAGAATGGGAAATGTTGTAGATGGAGACAGACTGCGCAGCTTTTGAAGGAAGAATTGATAGTTTTGGGGATAAAATTTTAAAGAAAACTAATGTAGCTGGGGGGGGAATATCAAGAGTTGACAAAAGTTATCAAAACTGCATTGTCTCTATCACATGGAAATGCAGACATTAAGAGGCATTTTTCTGTGTCAAGATGGGCTTTGACTGAGGTCAAGGCTTCCACTTGTGAACGAACATTGAATGCAATTTTGTTGATCAAAGATACATTGAAAACCTATGGAAATAAACCTGATCTGGTTCCCATGACATGAAAACTTATTGCTATGGGACAAAGTGCCCATAAGCAATACATAATGTACTTAGAGGAACAATAAAGACTGAAAGAGAAGGAAGAAAAAAAGAAAGGAGGAGATACATTTAGCTAAATAAATGAAAGAAAAGGTTAAACAAGCAGAAGAGTCTAGGGGAAAAATGAGATAGAAAGTAAGATATCACTGACAAAAATGGACTATGTGCCAACTTCTGAAGCATCTGATCATCTGTTCAAAGAAGCCAATTAATGATTGAAGAGAGCAATACAGAAAGGAAATTTGCAGGAAGTTAGTGTTACACAGGCTATGTTGCTATGCGTGGAACTGAGCAGCAAAAACTTAAAGGAGTGGAAACTCTTCAAAAAAAAACTGTAGAGAAAAGAAAAAATAGTTTCATCACTGCTTTCTTTGGTAAAAGACCTAAAAATTCTTGATTTATTTTTTATTTGAATTAGCATTCCATTTAATTTTAAAAAATCCTAATTATACTTTTTAGTGTGGTTTTTTTTTTTAATTCAATAATAAATGAACAAGCCATACCCCATCCAGGACCAGAAACAAATGAAACTTAGCCTTAAACACCAAGTGATATACTGTGCATGAAGATATATGCATATATACACACACATAATATATTCTACTGTATGATATGCTACATATTTTTTGAAGTTTTGGAGTTAAAAATAGCTTGATTAACAGACTGAAAAATTTGAAGTAGATAGAAAACCACCAGGTAGA